ATATATATATTTTATATATATGTTTTCAACGCAACCCACCCAATTAAGTCCTGTAAAAAGTTATTAATAAAAGATTAGTCATATAAATGGGAGGAAATAGATATGCCTACCATAAAAAATAAGTCCACCAATTTACGATTTTTCTCCTCCCTCTCTTCACTCTCTCTCTCTCTCTCTCTTCCTCTCTTCTTATCTCTCTCTCTCTCTCTCCTCTCTCTCTCTCTCTCTCTCCCCTCTCTCTCTCTCTCTCTCTCTCCCCCCCCTCTCCCTCTCTCTCTCTCCTAAGATAACATTCGCTTTGACTGGCAAGACTGTTCTTTCTTTCCATCTTTCCCTCATATTCTTGACTCTCACAATGCTCGTGGTGGCAGGAAAATAAAGACCGGGCAAACACTGTACAAGTGTTGTGGCCAATAATGGTTTTTCTCCTCTTCGCTTGTTGGGAGCAAGCTCGCTGGAAGCAAATTCACTGGAAGCAAATTCACTGGAAGCAAGATCGCAGGGGGCTATTTGATTGGAAGCACCATCACTGGAAGCTCCTTAGTTGGAAACCTCCTGTTCTTTCGAAGTCACTTTGCTGCAGGCTGGTTCCATGGACGTTGCTTTAACGGAAGCCGGTTTATACAGAACATGTTCTCTGGAAAGTAGTTCTCAGGAAGCCGATTCTGAGGAAGTCTAATCGCTAGATCAGAGGGAGTGAGTTCCGCTAATAACCGAAGGACCTGGGTTCATTCCTGGGATGGGAGACACATAGGCAAGTTCCCTAACACCTGAGAGAGAGAGAGAGAGAGAGAGAGAGAGAGAGAGAGAGAGAGAGAGAGAGAGAGAGAGAGAGAGAGAGTGAGTGAGTGAGTGAGTGAAATGTTGGTGGCATCCTGGGGGATGGCCCAAGGATCCAGTGGAAATGAGACACTGGCTTCCTTGAGTTATTTTGGGGTTTTAATCTCCAGGTTTAATAACACAAAATCTTATGGTTCTGTCTGTAGTCCTGCAGGCTGAGGGACTGATTACCTCAAACTCCTAATCTTCACTATTCTTCATTGTATTGAGCTGATGAAGTCACTGTGTGGCGAAGTGTTTCCACAACACACATACCCAAGTGTTGTATATGTGTAAGATTTATCATATTGTCGGTTCTCTGAACCATTTACCCACTGTCATAGTTAAGCGTGACTTGTCTGAACGAATCTGGTTATATGGGATATTGAACGTTGACACAAGAATTTTAGTTTCATACGCATGTAACACTTAGAGAAAATCGCCTATCGCCTTCGGCTTTGACATTATAACTTCACAGATAATCCAGATGTTTGTGAATCCTCCTCACTCTTCACATCTAGCGAACGTCAGATGTCCTTTATTTATTTTTTTATGCCCGTGAGCTTCATTACTAATTATACGCAGTCATCAACCGAAAAGTTTTTATATGATTCATTTAACGTGAAGTTGTAAATAATTAGTAGGCGAGTCTAAACTTTTGTCACCTCCATGGCTCTATATATATATATAATATATATATATATAATATATATATATATATATATTTTATTATATATATATATATTATATATATAAATATATATATAAAATATATATTTTAAATATAAATATGCCGTGCCGAATAGGCAGAA